TTACACATTGTTAAGAATGTCAATTATAGACTAACTTTAGGCTCCGTTTGTTTCACCAAAAATGAATGATTTTGAAAATATTTTTCTAAAAACAATCGCTTATATCTGTTGAAATAATTAGTTAACAAGAAATATTTTTATTATTGTTTTATGTCTCAAAATTTTCATGCATCATGAAAATATTTTTCGTTTGTTCATTTTTGTATGCAATACAGGTAATCATTTCTAGGAAAAGTATTCCAAATCACTCATTTTCTGTGAAACAAATAGAGCCTTAATTCATAATAAATGGAAGCGATAGTTCCTTTGTGTAACCCATCAATTACAAGGTATAATGGATATAAGAATTGTCCTCTATAATATATAGTGCTTCCTCTTTCATAGGAAGAAATCTATTTTGATTGCTTTACATGTTGTAGAATGAAAGCTACAAACTCAAAATGCACATGAAATTAAAAGAATGCAACATCTTTACATAAGAACACAATGATGTACTTCAATTTGTTTTTCAACTTTGAACTCAAACGCATACATTCAACCGAAATATGGTATGGTTGACAAGAAAACAAAAGAGACAAATACACATTTTTTTCATTAGTTTTTCGTTTCAGCCTTCCTTTGGTCTTTTTAAAGACCCAAAAAAATGAATGGATGTGTTAATTTTGAAGGGTTGTAACTCTTCAAAAATAATTTCTAATATTCTGATGTTGCATCTCCCCGTAAGGTCACAGGAAGAACATCTTTAGTGCATCACACCTTTCGAAACAAAAAAAGTTCCTAATGATTACCTTCTGAAACAAAATTATTCATTGCACCATTTCGTGCAACAATGACATCATATTAGTTTCACAACCAATTGAGGTCGTTGTTCTAAGTTTGACGAACCCATCTTTTCTTCTTTTCTGCCTCCTCCTGCAAAATAGAATATGTATAGAAAGAAACACACTGTAAATATAGAAATCAATCATAATAACTACTATCAACAAGTATGTTGTACCTAATTACATATGTACAACACTAGATCCTAAAATTATCCATTTGTGATTTTTATCTTGTAACACATACACACAAGACCTTAGCACCCATCTGTCCCTCCTCGTTCTCTGCTTATCTCTCTCCGATTCCTTGGCCATGTTTGTGCACTTGACTCCCATCTCTCTCTCTCTCTCTCTCTCTCTCTCTCTGCATGCATGTTATGGCCGCCATCGATCAATGGAAGCCCTCATCAACATCGAGCGTCGTCGTTGATCTAGAAAGCATTTACCAGGATTTATATGGATTTCTCCGCATAAGCGGCAGCGTGGCGGTTGATGTCAGGATCGATGGAGCTTGAAAGCGGTGACAGCTAGGTGGTGAGGTGGTGGCGGCTTAGTGGATAAGGTCAGTTTTATTGTACATTAGAGAGAGAGAGAGAGAGGTAGGTGGTCGATGGCTATAATGGATCAACGATGGTTGCGGCCATTGAGGTTGAGGGTGCTATTACGAAGTGGCAGCGATTACAGCGACATGGCAGCTTAGTAATTGCAGAGAGAGTGTCTGTTTTGCTAGGATTTTCGTTTATGTGGACAAGATTCACTAAGGTGTGTACTGTTTGGTATGAATCCACTATATTAAGGAGGGATGAGGAAATTTATTCAAATCAGGAGTGGAGGAGATGTTAGCTCGATTTTAAATGCTGCTTTATATGCACTATGGATGCAACTCCCATATGATCTTTTTATATTTGAGTATAAACCAGATGGATTTTCCACAGGAATCTATGTGTGCGAATGAAATGCCATAATCTGACCGTTTTTTTATAGACGTTAAGAGATTGTGAATGTTCTTGAAGCTGGAGCCGTAACTTTCACTACCTTTAAATTCCATACAAACCAGCACCATCCCCAACTTAAAAAGGCAATAAACTTTTCTGATGTGAAACCCTTTTTGACTCAGACAGAAGGGACCAAATTGGTTGTATCCCAATTTTTCAAAGTAGTAGGAAAATACCCACCATGCTAGTGAGTTCTTATCATACAAATTCTATCAACTTTGGCCTTTTTTACTTTCAGCCCTTTTGAGGTTGCTTGCCTTTATGAAATGCTACCTTTATAAGAATCATTCACACCTCTCTCTCTCTCTCTCTCTCTCTCTCTCTCTCTCTCTCTCTACATATATGTATGTATATGCCTATTTGTGTGTGTTGCAATTTGCACCCATCTAATTTGAAAAATCAGAGCAATTATGACACCTAAAACCCAATTAAGATGGGAGAGGCTTGTTACTCGATTTATAACTAGAAATCCATCTCTTAATGATTACTACCTTGATTAATTATTTTCGGGGATATGATCCACATGGATCAGATTGGGTTGTTACAAATAATATTATCAAAGCAGTCGTACTATAAATGAGTGAGTTTGTAACACTCCAAAATGATAGTTGTTGGAGTTTAATAAATCAATTGCCAACATTGGATCAAGTAACTAGTTGATTGTTGAGCCGACTGCATGTTAGTAACATACCATCCATGATTGACATTAACCAATGTGTACTCTATCTGCAAAAGCACATCCAGCATTAATATGTAAGGCATAATCTATAAATAATTTTGACTAATTATCAGTGTTGATATACTACCAACCAATAAAAATCGACAAATTAGAGTCATAAAAAATGTTAGAATATTTAAAAATCAAATCACGCCTTCATCCAACAGTTTAAGTCTTAGAATAGTTGGCAGTGGTTCTACAAAATTTTACATGAAGCTGAGAATTGTAATGACAGAAAAATGTAATATTTTTTTCGTCACAATTCTCAACTTAGTATCAGAGCAGGAAGTCTTGAGTTTAAATCTTCTAGGCCTCTATTTGAGTCCTCAATTACATATTTCCACGCTATGGGTTTAGGCCAAAGTCCAGCCTATGAGTGAGAGCATTTATTTAATAGATTAAGCTTTTTGAATCTACTTCAAAGGAAATTAATTAAACCTGTCCAATTTTTTTTGGGGAAAAAAAAGAAACTTAGCAGTATTTATCGAGAACTTAGAACCAGACGAATTTGTCAGTACCCTTCCTCAAGCAAGTGACCAATGTTCCTTTTGAAAATACAGAATTTACTAATGCAATTATACAAATTAAAATGTTAACTTGACCAGTTAGGATATACACCAGGAAAATGTTTCGTCTAGGAAAAATATTCTTCTTTGTGATGATGCACCCTCAACTAGTATTTTATTTTCTTGACCCACAAACCCTAACTCTTTCTGCTTAAAAATAGCCTGTGATTTTGGCGTGCAATTCGGCATGAGAATCAAAAGTAAGATAAGCGAACCCCATGCAATATTCTAATGCCCCATTATCAATAATATTATTGCTTTTAATCACAGAAAAGGATAGCCAATACCAGCTTGGTCCCATTTGCGGTTGGAAATTTTATTTAATAATTTTCTGATTTTAGCCTGTTGGGAGGTGGGAAGAGTTGGTATGAGGTTAAGGTTAATCATTTTACAAAGTTCGAGAAAGATGAAGATTAATTTCTTGATGGGATTCTGTCTATCCGTTGGGTCATGCAAATTTCTAGGTGAAGTGACATAGCTAATGATGATATGATTAAAGTTGGGTTAACTTTTTTAGTCTCTCCGTGAGGGAGAAATGGACAGATGAGTAAGTTCCACTAAAAGTCACAATCACCATGCACTAACGCTGCATTAAGAGAAGGTGACTAAGCTGATGATTCTTGATTATTCCCCAAATCTGTCATAGTTTTCGACATAAATCATCAACCCGGTTCACTAAAGTATATGGGTATCCGTAAATTGCATGAAATCCGCAATTTTATTATTTAATATCATAATAAATCATTTAAAATTCGCTACCACAATTATTTATTGATCACCTGTGCATTGTCTCTGATTAGGAAACCTCCACACTGCAAAACATAAGAATTGTAGAAATTTCAGGACAATCCAACGTAAAAATGAAAGTTAGGATTCAGTTGGTCGATGTTGTGATTGAATTGTTAGTCGATTATAATAATGTTGTGTTTTAGGGTCAACAAAATTAATAAATATTAACCTTAACTTTTTTAAGAGAGAAGGAATAGTTTTAGAAATGACTTATCATATTCCGGTTATTCATTAAGTACATTTAAGGTTAATCCAAAAATTGTAGGGTTTTGTAAATAGGGTGACAAACCTGTCCCATGATCCAAAACTCAAAAACCATTGAAAACCTATTAAGATCGGGAAAAATCAAAATTCAATCCAGATCGGCTGCCGTGGGTATTAATCAAATAATCAAAGAATCCCGAACCCCCTCTAGGTAAAGAGAATGCCCTGACTTGCTACCATTCCTAAAACTATATAAGAACTGTGCTTCTTTCATTCAGAATGGCTAATGTCCTCGATTTTGTCCAAGCTATTCCACCCTGACAATTACACCCTTTTCCACTTGGAGCCCAATTTGCATCAAACACATATCTAACAGGCAAAGTCCTTGTTCGGTACCGTTTATAAGGACCCATCCTTCTCCATGTGAGCCGAATCTTAAAAAAGAGTGTTTAAGATTGTGCCCATTAAAAAATGAGTCATCCATAAATGTTATTCCACAATGTCTCTTCCTATGACTCGGGGTGTCACATATCCTTTACTTTTTTTCCCCTTTTCTCCTTCATGGGGGAACTGTGTAAGTCAAACTCTCCTTGATAAGTGTGATAAGAGCCTGCCTTATGTCCAAAGACGGCAATACATGTATCCCCCAATGCCTCTTGTCGATTTGTTCCTTTCAATTTTCGTGTGTTTGTACTTTCAAATAATTAGTGCCCGACTCTACAAGTGTCTTTTTCTGGATCAAAAGCCACGAGCTGGTTTTGCTTCTTTTAATGCATGCAAAAAAGACCTTCAGTTCCAAAAGCCTCAATACTTTCAAAGGTGGCATTGCTTTCTAAGACAAGGGACTAGTCAAAAAAATTGCCTCCTCCTTTTCAATCACTTTATAAGATCAGATCAGATGTGAGTGAGCACCAACGCATTGCATGCTGTCCCATTTATTTGTTTAACCCTTTTTCTTTTATCGCTCCTGAGGTTTGTATTCAACCAAGGTGCAAAATTTGGCAGATGAAGAAGGACACAAATTGATTCGGCTCTTACAAAACCTGTTGGCGTGACCAGTCTTTCTCAACCCGAGCTGTGGTGTGCTTTACGTCCCTCGTGTGTGCAGAGATTATTCCGTGTGAATTTAATGTTGGGTTTGGATGTTTCTTAGGCGTTTGTTGTATTCTCTGTTTGGGGACTTTGACAGTTTCTCATGGTGGTATTTGCTGCAATTAATGTTGGTTCAGTTAAAGTTTCAACGGTTGGACTCTAGTCTGAACCCAACTTTTCTTCTTTTGTTTTTTGTTTTTCTTTTTTGCTCAAGTGTTGTGCATGACATTGAAGAAGTGGCGGGGTTGAGTTTGGTTTCAAACATATAAGCCTCAAGGACATCACAGTTTGAAGAGGAAAACCAGAGCAACAAGGTAAGTTCTTGTTCCTTCAATTCTAGTTTCTGCTGTTTGATGCGTTCATGGGTTTCTTATTTTATATGATTAAGTTCTTTTTTCTGATTTGCATAGTCAACTCTCCCAAGTGAAAAAAAAAAAAAAAAGAACTCTCCCAAGTGGTACTAACAGATATAGCTCAGTCGAGAGGCTTTCTTTCATTTGCCTCAATGATAAGCCCTTTTGTCTAAGGAAGAAGAATTACATCTGTTTGTATTAACTTGCAGAGATTCTGTGAGATTTGGGTCCAAATTTACTACTGCTGGTTATGTTAATGTTACAGCACTTAAATAGTGATTTTCTTTGTATCTGTGGCTTCCCAGCGGGGAGTAAGAAGAAAAAACCAAAGCCTTCCCAGTTGTGTTTGTACTAAGTATTATCACAATCATCTAATCCCCTTTCGTAAGAACTTACACTGATGTTGGCAAGAACACATCTTCTGCCAAACGCCATCTACTCAGCACTTTTCATATTGCTTCATCTACTCCATAACTCTGTCGTAGAGCTCTCTAATGTCGAAAGTTTGACCTTGAAATTTACGTTTCAGCATTAATTGGTGTGCCGGTTACCAGACTTGGTAAGGCAGAACAAAATGGGACAGCTCAGAGGCTCTGTTGGAACCATGGGAAAAAAGGACTCACAACATGAGATTGAAACATCATTGAAGGAGGAGGTAAGTTTCTCGGTTATGCTATCGAATGCGTCCCCTTTGCTCGATCAGTTAGTCTGTTTTGGATGTCTGTTGTCTTCTTACTCCAGAATGTTCCTCTAACAAAACTGCCGGGTCTCAATGATTGTGCTGTAGATTCTGCACCTTCAAGAACAACTTCAGGACCAATTTGTGATGCGGAATGCATTAGAGAAGGCATTGACTCGTAGGCCCTATTTCTCCCATGGTACATCTCAAAAGACAATCCCCAAGGTAACTACTCTAATCCATTATATTATTTTGGAAAACGGGCTGCTTTCTGTACTGTAGTATCTTTTACTTACTTGACTTCATTTCAGGATGCAGAGCAGCTGATTGTAGAAACCGCAGTGTTAGAATCAGAAGTCGCGTACCTGGAAAAGTACCTTCTCACCTTGTATCGTAACAAGTTCAATGAACAACCTTCACATTTATTCACTGAGGATGAGCTCAAGTCGACCTCCATCGCTCATGGGAAAGTGAGTCCGCCAATTCACAGACATAATAGTACACTGGAGAGAGAGAATTCCTTTTCTCATTTAAGTCGGCGTCCTCCTTGTTTGCCTCGTCGGTCCATTGGGAGTCCTTTGAAAGAAGAAGAGAACATTTGGGCTCCAAAAAATCTATCAGATGTCGGTATTCACCGTTGCCAGTCCTCACTATCTCAGCGCTCATCTCATCCAAACAGAGATTCACATCCAGAAAATTCATTTGCTAGAGTTGTAGATTCATACCACTCCCTCCCTTTGTCCATGTTGGAGGTAAGTTTCTATTTTCCTTCATCTATCATATAAGTTAACTTTGATTTAATGTGCTTCTAATATTCCTCCGAGATTGATTATTCTTCGAGTACAGAGAAAACTCGGAAATATCCTTGTACAATGTCGAAATGTTGATATTACCAGTTTACGGATACAAGCTGTATCGTTTGTGAAACCGGCATAAGATGTTCCTAATCAAGTGAATGTTCTGTTTTCTTTTCTTTGCTTGTTTAGCGAGTGCCGTGTACGACTTCGAAATCAATTAGTTTGGCAGACTATCTCGGGACGAGCATAACTGATCATGTCCTAGAGACGCCAAACTGGCTATCCGTAGAGATGGTCAAGTCCATCTCAGCAATATACTGTGAGCTGGCCGAGCCACCTTTGACAAACTATTATTTCCTGTGCTCTCCAAATTCACCATCTTCGTACATAGTGGACCAATATCCTTCGGGAGATCTTGGTGACATGCAGAGCTCACACCACTGCAGATATTCCTCCTTCAATTCCCATTTTGGTAACCCTTTTCACGTGGAAGGCTCAAGAGAATTCAGCGGACCTTACAGTACTATGCTCAAAGTGCAATCAATCTCCAGTGATGCTGAAAGGATGAAAAGCATTGAGTACATGCTGCGGAAGTACAGGTGACGTAACCTCAATTTTGATGTTCCAATTTCTTGGCGAAAATATTTTATCAGCCGTTGGTTGGTGGCCTATTTGTTGATTTTTTCCAATTTTAAGCAGTCTAACGTCAGACTCCTCATCTGTTATGTAAAGATGCCCTTCTGTAGTAAGCCATTCAAGTTACTTATAGGAATAGACTTCAAGTGTTTTTGGGCTTGTCACTAATATATATGCAACAAAAGATGCATTTATGGACATTGCATTGCTATACTTTCTTCACATATGATGAATCTTACCAAATTGTAAGCTCGATTTTAGGTCAATCGTACATCAATTGCGACGAGTCAATCCCAGTAAGCTGAATCATGAGGAGAAGCTCGCCTTTTGGATTAATGTGCACAATGCCCTAGTGATGCATGTGAAGTTCTCTTCCTCTGTCTTTTTTAGCATCATAGTTCTTGCTTTCATTTCATCCATACTCACATCCCAGAACATAAAACGCAATACTAATGTCTCGTGCTCTAAACTACAGGCATTTTTGGCTCATGGCATTCCGCAAAACAAACTGAAGAGGATGTCTCTGCTACTCAAGGTTTCTAACTTCCAACCTGACAACATTAATGAATATGCAGAAGGATTATCAATTTTGTTCCCCTAACTTTTGTGTTATGCAGGCTGCATATAACATTGGAGGGCACACCATAAGCGTAGACACAATTCAAAACAGTATTTTGCAATGCAGGCTGCTTTGTCCGGGAAAGGTTGGTCATTCAACTGCTCTGGACTCTGCTAATTGTTTGCATTCTTTTGCCTCAGCTGAAAAGCATGGTAGCTTCATTTCATATGTTTTTAACTCAATGCCTTTGTTGCCTGTAGTGGCTGCGGTTACTATTGCCATCCAAGCAGAAATTTAAAGTCGATAGTCTGCCGAAAGCATATGAGATCGACCATCCCGAACCACTCTTACATTTTGCACTCTGTTTGGGAAGCCGCTCTGATCCTGCAGTAACGTCCTGCCTTTATATTTTTGTTCAAATTTTAACAATTATAGATCTTGATAGCCTCTGCGCCGACACAAGTGTCAACAATTGTATAAGGCTTTGAATTAGTTATCACTCACAAATTTAAGCTTATTCCCGCGAGTATTATCAATAGGTTTATGTAGAGAAAGATTCAAGCATCTCAAAAACCAATTAGACACGATTCCAGGTTCCAGTTTGTCATTTTACTGAAAAATATTACTTGATTCAATTTCTTCATTGATTTACTTAATACGGAGCTGGCTCATAATTCCCACAAATCGATTTTCTTTCTTAAACTTGTATATGTAACGAGGTTAAGCATTTAACTTTCTCTTGACCATGTTGATTCTGGATTACATTTATGTCTTTTCCAGGTTCGCATGTTCAGGTCTGACAAAGTGTTTCAGGAGCTGAAAGTCGCAAAGGAAGAGTACCTCCGATCAAACTTCAGATTGTTTAAGAAAAGGATCATCCTACCAAAACTTGTCGATACTTACACCAAGAGCTCGGGTTTGAGCGCGGCCAACCTGCTGATGATCCTCAACCATTGCTTGCCAGATTTTCATGTAAATAGCTTCCAACAGTTTCACAACAAGTCTTGGAAGAGCTTCGAATGGACAACTCAAAACTTCGACTTTCAGTATCTTTTCTCGAGCGAGTTAGCATAGCAAATCTTAAGAGACTTCTTATGCTAAGTAATGAGGTCATTGCTTTGAATGACAGATGAATCACAGCTTAAGCATTTCCCTCTTCACTATTTTATAAAAGCCAGTTCTATCGTTCAAGAAAATACTGCAGTTGTGATTGAGCTGTCATTCCAAATCATCATGTGCGGTGTGTCCCCAATTGCCATGTAGAAGCCAATCAGCGACCTTAAAGATGTGTTACCTTGGAATTTTAAGACTGTTTGTACCACACAAACTCTGGAATAGTGTGCATCGATTTATGAGAGAGACTTCTATCATCACTTTAACACACGTTCGTTCTGAAATTTCTTTTTTTTCGATCTTAATTCCAAACCTTATGAAACTGCACAAATGCCTATATAGAAGATCTGCTAGCTTGAACTTAGATTGATGATGATAGTGTTGGTCCAAAGGGAAGATCAATTCTTATAGATTAGCTGCAGCTGACTGAGATCAATGAACTGGTTCAGTCAGGTCAAATAATGCGCTACAAATGATGCAGACTTTCACGGTTATTCTTTCAGCGAACCTTATCCAAGGCAAGCATACGGAAGACGAGATGAATAATAGATAACTGTGTAATTGTTTCAGTGAGCCTTGTGCAATTGGTGCCGTGAATAGGTACACCTGCACTATTGATGAAGTTGGGCAATGCCAAAATATGCCATCGTCACTTAAGAAAATCAAGCAAGGGCACTTCTTTTACATCACTTGCATCGACAGGACTTTGAAGGTTGCGAAAGTAAAGGTCATTTAAAATCACTACTACAGGAACTCAGTAAACTATATCAAGGTACACCGAGGATCTACATGAACTGATTCAGAGATGTTTGTAAGACACAAACAGTCCGAGATACTAAAGGCGAGCAGAGGCTTAGTATTTTACTCTGAGCAGTGTCTTATGCAGAGTCCACATCATAGGATGGGACTAAGCATCATGAAAAGGTCGCTCAAATTCTTTGTTGAAGCTTCAAACCTGGAGAGACTTTGTTACCTTGACTATGAAGAATCTTGATTCGATACAGAAGCCAGATCAGGCCTTCATTGCAGTGCAATTGCTAGCCCTTGGGCTTTTGTACAGCTTTGTTGCCTCTTGGTCACCTTTTTTCTTGTGTTTGGAAAAATTTAGGAAGGGAATGCACTGCTGAGGAGAAAACCTTTGGTGATTGTTAAACATCACAAGTTCGGAGAAAGCCCACGAGGGAGCCCAAGTGTGAGTTAAACGACGGCCCAATTTCCTTTGAAGTACCAGCTTTAGCTCCAGGTTGGAAATCCGGCCCTAACTTTTTTTATCTCATAAAAGCACAAACTTTAGCTTAGGTCCTAATCTGGCCCGAAATTCTTTTTTTTTTCTCGTGAAGAGGCGCCAACTTTCAATTGGTACCCAAATATGGTCCCTAACAAGTTTCCATCCAATGATGTCTCTAAAGATGCGATGTGCTATTTCTTATGTACTTGGCGGCTCACAGTTGTGTTAATGTGGGAGGATCACACACAATTCAAGAGCTTCCTTTATTTGAGAATTCCCAAATCGTGGGAAAAGATATTGCCATAATTTTCATATGACACACACTTGAGTGCCCTAAATTTTTTGTCAATCACTTCAATTTCATAACTTATGTATGGAGCTTACTTGAGTATTATAGTTTTTTTTTCCCGACCACTTGAGTACCATGTTACTTTTCAATCAATCGCTTGAGTGCCATAAAATTTTAAAAAAGTTCACCACAAGTGATTAATTGAAAGTTGTGGCACTTACATGAACGTATTTTTAGAAGCTATGGTACTTAAATAGTCAATTTAAAAGTTTTGGCAATCAAATGAGCATTATTCAAAAATTGTACTCAAGTAGTCAATTTAAAAGTTTTGGCACTCAAATGAGCATTATACAAAAATTATGGCACTTATGATGTCCTTATCCTAACTCCACCGATCACGAGTTCAAAGTTTCATTTTTCTTAGTTTCTGGACATGCTTGGATCTGGTGAACTGCTCATCCACACCTTGTTTGCCCTGGATAAGTCATTTCTTCTTGTCCATATTGATTTTTGTCACCAAAATTTAAACTTAAATGGTCACGATTCCTCCCCTTGCTTCATTTGAAACTATTCAAATTCTGGTGGCGGCAATGACTGTGAGTCGCCAAGTACACATGAAATGACATGTCGATTATTTAACGGTATCATTGTACGATAACTTGACGGGCGCTAGATTGGCAACCGAGTTAGTTCCTTTTTTATCTTACAAAAAATTTTTCGACTAAAATTTGCACTCGAATTGAAGTTTGTGCAATTTTATCAGATAAAAGAAAAGTTTTAATTAGAATTTGGACTCGATCTCAAGTTGATGTTTTTTTATGAGATAAAAAAAATAGATTAAAATTGGAACCCAAGTTAAAGTTTGTGCTTTTTACGGGAACGGGGCCATCAAATGACATATCCTCAAACAAGACTCATGATTACTAGGTTACAACTATAGGTATCATCAACATACAAATTTCATTGAAAAAAAAAGTGTGAGTTCTGGCCATATTTGTGACCCACCAGTCAGAAAACTTTCTAGAGTAAGTACACTTCAATGGCATGAAGGAAAATACACCTTAGGTGACTAATGCAAACATATTGGATACAGATTTGCCATCTCCTACTCCAATCGTATCTACTTTGTGCACTAGATACACAGAAGTACAGCCAGAAACTCTCCCCCTCTCACTATCTTCTCTTTCTCTTCTAGTCTCTCCCCAAGTCACCGTCATTAGTCGTGCTGCCAACCTCCGTCATCAACCTTTGCCGTTCTATTTTAGCCAAAAACTGCCGATGTGGACACCGGTCATCTCACGTGACACAACTAATGCGATTTTTTTAGAATTCTTTTTCTGAATTTAGCCACCGTCTTCCACTCTCCGCCAAAGAATCTATACCGTCGTGCACCACTTAGCCTCGTCTTGCTCGAAAATCTTGGATTCGATTCAGCGTAGGAAAGGCAGTGTTCTTAATGGCCAATCACTCGACATTTTCTCCGTTATTTCTCGGCATGGCCCCCCAAAAAAGACAAAAGCAATTCACTCAAATTGTACCACGAATCACGCCATAGTGGACGACATGACAAGACTCGCGTACCAAACCTTTCCATGCACTGCAATTCCCAGGAAGCAACCAATGCTCATGCTACATGATGACCAACGTTGAAAATCTAGACTTTGACTGATTACGTGGTCAATTCTCACGTGTAACTGCTGTGGGAACTTATAATACATATACATATATATATATATATATATATATATGTATGTATGTATGGACACTTTTTGACTTGGTCCAACGTTTTACATTATAATGGGTCGGGTAAGAATAAGAGGAAGACCGTTGATCTCACCACGAAGTCTCGCCTTCTGAAAAGAGCAGGGCCTAGGAATTGCATGGTACGACTTAGTAAATTTGGGATATGTGGCCGGACGTCCTCCGTTACTCTCGAGAATAACGCTGACCGTTGGCCTAGCGGCGCACCATCGCAAAAACCACCCAATTATCTCAAAAAAAATATTCACACTCGTTTGCAAAATTCATATGCAAAAATTGTCTCGTTGAACCGGCCCGAAGTTTTGGGAAATTTTATGGCCGGTGATCAACTAGTCCCCATCAAATCTATACTGAGATCTAGACATGTCGTTTTGCGTTATTTTAGGCAGCCGCACAATCATTGATTATGTCATCGACTTTATGCTAATACCAAATGCTAGATTTAGATATAGAGTTCACATGACGTTAAACGGTGCCAAACTGACAAAACAAAGCTTGTGCCGACATGGCTTGGTTTTGTTAGGTCTGCAAGCATTTCTGGCCAAAAAGAGAAAGGTCTAGAAGCACCCGTAAATGAATAACCTAAGCAATTTCTCATTTTTAGCACGCCATGGACCAAAGGCTATCACGCTTGACTTTGTTTCGTTCAAAGTGACGTAACTATCATTGAAAACTGAAAAGCTATTTTATATAGATATATACACTGATTTTATATGCTCTTTATGTATATAAGCAATGTGGAAGTGAATCATGCACATTGAACTCTCCTTTTGCAAAATTTTCAACTTACTAATTTGTGCACTTGTTCATGGCTCGTGAGTGACAACACAAGTAGCTCAATGGCCAAAAGTTAAGAAAAATGTTAGTGATCTGCCCTAAGAATCAATCAAGGTTGATACTCTAATATTAGTTGTGGATTAGGTTGTGTCGGAAAATTAACCTTCACTATACTTAGGTAGTCATAATGTCTTGCTAGAGACCGCTTATGACTTGTGAGCCAAAAAAGGTTTTAAGCACACTGCTAATGTTTAGTGAACCTACAAGGTCGCACACAATAGCGAACTGAGTTAATATTTTCTGTGCGCCGGGATCTACTTAAAATAAGAAGTAGATTTTAATTTATTCTCTATTCAACTTATCTACGCGGTTGTGCACGTTATGAGATAACGATTAAACGTACGATTGAAAGTGGACAGTTTGGCGGGCCCAAATCGCTCGGCCCCACTTCTTTTAATTCGCGTAGATAATGAGGACATATATATATAGTGTGTGGGTGACAAAAAAAAACCCTAAGAAAGAGAAAAACACCTCCAAGAGAATACGAAGAGAATCGTTCTCTGTTCAGAGATCTTTGAGAGAGTCTCGAAGATCAAAGGCGATCAGAAAAAAGAAGTCCAAGATCTTTAGCTAGCACTTGGATCGTTGGAGACTTCCGTTCGTGTGTGTGGATACCGGTAGAGACGCAACACTTGGGGCGCTAATCCAGACACAATCGATTGTCAATTTACTTTCGATCTGCAAAAGGTACGTGTCGAACTTCTGTTTAGATTTCAATATACGCATGGATCCTGTCTAGGGTTTCGATTTATAGATTCCGCTGCGTTTTTAGCACTAGAGGAACCCTACAAAAACAACATAGCTCTCTACCTAATATCATCCACAAGTAGGTTAAATAATAGCTCTTCTTGAACATGTACATTTTTACACAAATACAGTCGTTTTTTACTAGTCGAGACAGAAATACAGTTGAATAGCTAATAATTGTGTGATTTTACGGATGTGCTTATTAC